AACCACTACGCTACCAGAGCTCCTTGACTTTAACTGGCCACGCAGATCAGCTCAGAAGGTACTATTTTAATTAGACATTGCTATTTGGAGCATATTTGTAAATCCACGACTCATCCCCCCAGTTACAATTTGTTCCATAAAACCATCTTCATTCACTTAGATTTTGCTTAAAAGACTAATAGAAAGATCAGTTCTTAAGTATTTATGGCACTCATCCAGCCAAAAGTTTGTTGAGGCCAAAATTTAAAAATGTTTAACCTTGTGTGATACCAACTTCATTAGCTACCATATCAAATGGTATGTCTATGGTCTTCTTCCAACAGTTTCTGAACATTAGCCATTGTTTCTTCATTCATTAAGGTTGACTTTTTTCCTGTCTTGGTTCATCATTAAGGTTTTCCAACCTTGAAAAGTACGTAACTAAGATCCAGACAGGAGGGGAGAAGGCATTTCTGTTAACTCATCAATGTGTATTCATTTTGAAAGAATGATGGGGAAGATGGGGATGGCACAACTTAGAAATTGCCCTGGGTACTTGTTACTCTCATTATGTCACTGTATACATGCAAAAGCTAGACAATAAATAAGAAAGACAAAAGACAAAAAAATAACATTTTGACCTATCTAGAAACTGTTGTTTCACATGGGGCAGCATTCCATAAGCTTGTTACAATGCTTCAATGACTTAGAAAGCTACTCGAGTTCTACTAAAAATGTTATATTTGTCCTGATCTCAAAGTCCTTTTTTTCCCATAGTACAAAAAGTATCCTTTTTTGAAAGCACCCTAATAAGACTATTGCTGCTGTTACTGTTAAGTGCCATAGAGTCGGCTCTGACTCATAGCCACCGTGCTCCTCCAAGGAGCAGCTGGTGTGTTTGAACTGCCGACGTCGTGGTTCCAGTCCAGTGCTGATTCTCCATTGCCATACCAGGAGTCTAGAGACGTATATACTATGAGAACTTGTCTGCAGCCAACCACTGATTACAGAGACATGCTTAAACATGTTTTATAGGAAGGAATATGCCCATGTTTGTATGAACTAGAACCTAACTAGCAATACATTTTGATTTACCCTTATATACACTCACACAAAATACATATTCCTTCATTGTAAATTATGAGAATTTAACATACATCCAAAGAAATAACTGTTTAAAATATTGATGATATCACAAACACCCTATTTTGAAATAAATGTATGTAGTAGATTATAGATTTCACTTTTTATACATGACTTCATTTATGTCACATAACAAAGTAGAGCAAATATGAAAACTTTAGGCAGGACTGTGACTCTAGAGCCTACACTCTATTTTCTGAAAGAGTAATAACAGTAAAGATTTCACCCAATAATAATATCTTAGAAATGGCATGTATACTATGATCCCATTCATAGAAGCATATGCATTTATCAGGATTCATCTATGTAGAAACAAACTGTATATACACCAAGCATTTAATAGTATCAACAGTTAAATGATCAGTTTCTTTTCCTAAAACTTCTATAACTGGCATGAATACTTTGTTTTTCTAAAATGGAGTAGGGAATGGTTTCCACAAGATTTCTTATAAGCAGCAGCATATACAGGTAGTGTGGTATAGCAACTACTGTCTATTTATACTAGTTGAACAGATGCTGCCTTTAAAATTATTTACCATATGGTTGTATTAGCGAAAATAAATTAAAAGTTACCTGGGATCCAATTTCAACACATCCCTGTCCCACAGCTCTAGCAAATTTCTCTTTAAAGATGCATCCAATATCCTTTACTCTTTTCAGGATACTTTCTTTTGGATTCACTGTGCAGTTCTTTAAGGAGAATAAATATAAATCAACATTGAGGATACTGTTTAACCAGAGTTAATATTTACTGTTCCATACATATTCATAAAAATGTGAAAACACTTACTGACAGAACTTATCTGCAGCTATAAATAAACATAACCACTAAAAACATGCAAATGATATCATTTCATTTTTAGATGCTAGTGACCCAAAAAATACCAGAATATAATTACAAAAATTCTACCACCTAAATTTTCTGCTCTTAGAGCTAATGAAGAAGCCCTAGTGGTGCAGTGGTTAAAAGATTGGGTGCTAACTGAAAGGTCAGTGGTTTGAACCCACCAGCTGTTCTGTGGGAGAAAGATGTGGAAGCCTGTGTCTGCAAAGATTAAAGCCTTGGAACGTTAACGGGCCATTCTGATGTGCTCTATAGGGTTGCTATGAGTCAGAATTGACTGACAGCAACAGGTTTTTGGTTAGAGCTACTGAAGAGCAGATTTGGGTTAGTCCTTTTACTCATCAAAAAGTGCCTCAAGATTTTCTTAAAATATACTGAGTTAGTATAAAAAAGACCAGTCTTACTGGTCAGAAATACTGGAAGAACCTGAAACTATGGCCGTTGGTAATCCCTTCAAGTCTGCAACAAAACTAATCCTCATGGCTCAATCTTCAGCAAAGTGGGGACAACAACACTAGTAACGTATGCTCACCATGGAACAGCCAACCATTCAAAATCAAAAGGGTAACATTCAACCAAGGACAAAGTTCAGAAGGGTTGGGAAGGAGGGCAGAATGGAAATAAGAACCAGAGGGAGGAAGTAGATAGCTGATATTACATGGAGGCGATTATAACCACTGAAATGAAACAGTGTACCATTTGTTGAATGTAAAACTGATGATCTGATCTGTAAACCTTCACTCAATTAATAATAAAAAGTTTTAAAAAATAGTTCTAAGGAGTACTGAGTTTAAAAATTATTCTTTGAATTACAAAAACAGGTCAATTTCAAATACTTCTAATGAGCAAGCAAAATACATGCAATTTGTTCCATCCATCATTAAGAAATATAAAGTCTGACAGGTTTTCAATACGCTGTTTGAATTATAAAAGGATAGAAGAGTTTCCAATATTATGTCTGAGAAAAAACATAGTTTTTCCTACCCATAAATAGGAATTGTTGTTGAGACTTTCACATAGTTTCAAAGTAATCTTTTTATTACCAAGCTGAGAATATTTCTAAGGCAATGATAGCTCCTAAAAATCAAATGAAATTAGTAAAACTGAAATTTGACATTAGCAATTAAATATTTTAAATTATTCTTTGAAAGTATCAACAATTAACTAGATCAAACAAAACAACGGGTACAGAGTAATGAGAAAGTCCATATATTGTGGCAGTAACTAAGAAGTATTTCAAAATCTGCCATAAAACTGTTATTGCCAAGCCAGCCACTAAACTTCTAAGATTTTTATTCCATGCAGAAGAAAAGAAGGCTGAAGAAAAGAAAAGAAATAGAAGAAGAAACCTGAATTAATAAAGGAACAACAAGAAAAAAACCACATTCACCTTCAACATGTGCCTACTCTGATAAAGGCAGTTTGTAGTCAATGTAAAACTTTGAAGTTAATCTGCTATGCTTAATTTAACCTTAAATTAACCTTTACATTGAGCTTCAGAAAATGTTTTTGAGGCAGAATTTTTCTGTCCAACTAAGAGTTTAAAAAATGAGCTCCTACATACTACAAGTATTGGAAGAAGTTCAAAAAATATTTGAGAAAAGAGAAATTACCATTCCTTTAACTTTGATCATTACCCCTTGCTAAACATTTTCAGTAACTGAGTAGACATTTTTTGCTGAATATTCTACACTACAGATAACCCATAAACAAAAGCACAGTTCTGCAATATAGAAAAACATAATCACTTCTGAGCTAATTATGAATGTGTTGAAAAATCAAATTTGTTAATGCCCACAGGGGAACATAAGCAAGAAGATGGTTAAGAGAACATGGCGAAATTACAGATAGACTTTGGTAATGAATAAACTGTTAATAGCTACATAAGATGTATAGCTACTAACGCAAAGTCAGATTTCCTCATGTAGCATTTCAGTGGGCCCTAACTTTCACTTAAGTTTCAATATACACTGAAAGAGCAAGCACGCAATGTACTTGCCTTCTTCTCTTTTCCCTCCCTTTTTTGGGAGGGTGGAGGTGGGTAGTGAGTTGGTTGAGGGATAGAAGGGGCAGGGACAACACTGAGACCCTCAGACTCAAGGTCTATCAAGAGTTTCAAACCAAAACATACATGGAGTCAGGCAAATAAAGGGAATGCAAATGGGCTAGATATCAGATAAAAGGGACTGTAGAACATGACAATGCTAAATCCCATCTAAAGGCATTCAGATTAATACTATTTTATCATGGTCTAAACATGAAACAACCTCATCACAACACACCAGATATCATTACAGACTACCAGTTTCTAACTCTTGCTTTAGATCAGGGGTTGTTGCTCTTTAGTGCTGTCAAGTTGGTTCTGACAAATAGCGACGCTGTATAGGGTTCCTGAGGAGTGGCTGGTGAGTCTGAACTGCCGATGTTGTTGTTAAGTACCGTGGAGTCAATTCTGACTCATAGTGACCCTGCACAGGGTTTCCGAGGCTGCAAATCTTTATGGGAGCAGAAAGCCTCATCTTTCTCCCGTGGAACAGCTGGTAGTTTCGAACTGCCAACCTTGAAGTTAGCAGCCCAATTCGTAACCACTATGCTACCAGAGCTCCTTCTGAACTGCTGATAGTGCGGTACAAACTGATCTTGTGGTCCAGTGCTTATTCTACAGCACCACACCAGGACAGGGTGGAAAACCTTTTTTCTGCCAAAATTTATAACATCATTTGCTGGCCATACAAACTTATCAACTTAAAAATCTGTCTGTTATATTTGGTCAAATATAACTCACCCCTAAAATGATGGCTGGAGTACTGGTGTGGCGCTGTGGGTTAATACACTGGATTGGAAATGATTTTCGCAAGGTCGGTGATTCAGACTCACCATATGCTCCCAGGAAACCCTATAAAGAGTCACTATGGGTTGGAACTGACACAATGGCACTTAACAACAACAATGGCTAGAGTACTGGTGTCAAGATCGGTTTGAACTACACGGTCAGTGGTTCAAACTCACCAGATCCTCTTCGGAAACCCCATACAGGGTCCTTATGAGTCAGAACCGACTCAACAGCACTTAACAACAACAACGTGATAGCTGGTGTTTTAATATGTGTAGGATAAGCACTGGACCAACTTGCAAAGTTGGTGGTTCAAATCAACTCCAGCTGTTCCTTGGAAATGCTATACAGGGTTGCTATGAGTCAAAACCAATTCAACTGCACTAAACAACAGTGTGATACTGGAACTGAGGTTGCCTTGGCAGGTGTCAGATGAATAATTTCACCAGCATTATGTGGCCCTCAAGCCTGATGTTCCCCACCACTGCATTAGATGAACGGCTCCTCTATATAAAGAGAAAAGGAGTCTGTCAAACAACTCTACTATTCACCACAAATGATACCAAGGGATCATCTTAGACAATCATGAACTGTAAGAGCCCTTCTTTTATTGTCTTTTTTAAGTGGTAGGCAAAAATGAAGGCCTTCCTTTGGTTGTTTAAATGATTATATGTTCCCAAGTGATTTTGTGTACTCCCCCCCCCCCCCCCCCCCAAAAAAAAACCAGAGGGAATAGAAGCACATATTGTTGAATGATGATACACGGAGGAGATTGTAATCTTTGCAATGAAATGATGAGTGTAAAGCCAATATTCTCCTATGTAAACTATCACTCAATTTACAATAAAAACTTAAAAATAAATAAATAAATAAAGGCCTTGCACCTATAAATAGAGATGCCAAATAACTTTGGATTCTTATCTTCCTTCAAAGAACAGATTAGCTTCAAGTTGATTATATTTTCCCACACATGAGAAATGCAAAAATCTTCAAATCAGACTTGTTTTATTTCGGAGGAGCATAAAGAAGGTAATACATTTATTTTATTACGCTGTCCCAAATATCAAAACAAAAATCCTGAGAGCACTCAATTTTAACAAAAACTGTCTTAAAAATAAGCATAGAACATCTACATTTTGAGTTACTAAAAATGTGTAGTATGCTTTTGAAGCATGCTGATGAAAAAATCTGCAAAATTTCCACAATTTCTTCAGAGTCATAAAGTCACATACTTTATAACTTTTATCAATTTTATAGAGCAATGTAAATACTGTCAGAAATAGATACCACAGATAAATTTGATTATATGGAAACAAAAATTTTGCATGGCAAAGACATCATAAGGCAAAGAAGAAGGACAACATGACAAATAGTAACAGTTTACAAGTAAAGACTAATATCCTTAATTATTTTATAGTAATATATTCTTAAAAATTAAGGGGAAAAAAACAACAATATCATGAAGATTAAATATGTTTAAAATCCAACTCAGGGCTCAAGATGGATTTTAAACATATTTAAAATGTTCACAATCTCACTTACAATAAAAACATAATTGAAAATTACACTGGGAAATTTCTTAGCTAAGAAATTGAGGAAAACGCAAACGTTTAACTCTGATGAGGCTGTAGGGTAAGAAGCCTGTCAATTGCCACTGCTGGATTACAAACTGATATAAGGGACAGAGAAATTTGGCAATAGCTAGCAAATTACCATAAGCATTTATCTTTTCACCTAGAAATCCCATTTTCAGGAATTTATTACTAAATACATTTAAAGAAACAAGGCACAAAGCTATTCTCTGTACAACAATTTACAACAGCAAAAATTTAGAAACAACCCAAATGTTTTTCAGTAAAAACTCAAATGTTTTTAAAAAATTAAGATGCAAACACATAATGCAGCACACCATGCAATACTGCTGTTGCTAAATGCCGTTATGTTGGTTTTGACACATAGTGACCCTGTATAGGGTTTCTGTAAGAATGACTGGTGGGTTTGAACTGCAGACCT